TGAGGTGTTCAGCAGGGATGGGTTTTTTCAGCCCCAAGCAACCACCAGGGCAGCCGTTCCCTCCCCAGATCCGTACTTACTGCCCCACGCCTTCCATTTATCCCACAGGTATCTGATCAAGTTTTTAGCCAAGCTGGCCGAACACCAGGAGCTGAATAAAATGACCCCCAGCAACATCGCCATCGTGCTGGGCCCCAACCTGCTGTGGACCCAGCAGAGCAATGAGTAAGGCCTGGGTCAGAGGGGTGGGAAGCAGCTCTGGGCAAGTACTGACACCATGCGAAAGGCTGGTCCTGCAGCCTTCATGCTGGTCTAAAGCACCTGCACCTCTTCCATCCTCAAGTCCCGTCCCTTGTCCACACAATCCCCGAGGAGCACGTCCCCTCGCCAAACACGTGCCTGCTTGGCCACTCTGCAAAGCAGCAGAGGAAGAGGCTGAGACCCAGAGCACTCGTGACATGGATAGCGTCCAACACCATTGGCCTCCAACAGCAAACTAGGGTTTCCAGGACAGGGAAGAAGACCCACTTGCCACACTACCACCCCACTCAGCAGGGCTGCCTCTCCTTTGGGCTCTACCCCCTCAGCAATGAACAGCAAAAGGGTTAAACCCCCAAAACCCTCTTCTGATGCCTCCTCACCCCTGTCTCTCAGAGACCCTGTGCAACTGGACTTGGCCTCGGTCTCCTCCATCCAGGTGGTGGGTGTGGTGGAAGCCCTCATCCAGAACGCAGACACCCTCTTCCCTGGAGGTAGGGCCAGGCCCTTGCTTGGGGAAGGCAACAGAGAGTGAAGGGGGAAGGGACATTTCTCCATCCCCAGGAGGAGAGAAGCTGGGGGCTGCTCTGGTTCCCTGCTGTGGGGCCACTGGGGGAAGCTCTGCAAGGCGAGTGCTTCCTTGCGGAGTCTCCTCCCTGCTCTTCACCCAGAGGTAGATTTCAACGTCTCGGGCATATTCACTCCTCCCGTAAACATCCGCCTCGGCGAAGCTGCCCCAAAGGAAGAGCTGTGCCCAAATTCCCCTCTGGCTGGCACCCCTGCTCTCCAGGATGGAGAGACGTAAGTCTGGCAGGATCTGGGGGATCTGCCTGTCCCAGCACTCCCTAAGTCCTCCCCTCATCCCATCCCACCCCACCCCACGGGCCATATCCTTGTCTCGTGGCCAGGACCACCATGCCCAACCGTGGCCTGACTTGTGCCCTTCTCTGCACAGCACCTTGAGGGCCCCCAAGGCCAGGTCCCCGCCAGCATCCCCTGCGGTGACCAGATCATCTCCGGAAGCCACAGGGCCACCAGCTCTGCAGACGACCGATGACACGGCCCGCACAGGTATGGGGGCCTCACACAGCACGACGCTTGGGAGATGACACCTCCTGCCGTTCCCCAGGAGAGAGTGCTGGGGATGTCCCTGCCACCAAGTGACTGGAAGGGCCTCTAGCTGGGGCAGCGTGGCCAGGATGTGGCACCTCATGGCCTGCTCCATCCTCATCCGGGGTGGGACTGCCGGGGTGGATGCGGCCAGTCCTTCAGTGTGGGACGAACGCTCCCCACACAGAGGTGTCAAAGCTCACAGAAGAGAGCGGCAAAAGCTCTCACAATCTGTTGTGTGCTTGGGCCTCCCAAGTGCAGAAGCCAGACAAGAGGCAGCTGGTCCGTCCCTCTGCCCTGCGGGGCCACCTCTGCCCTGGGAAGAGACCCCAGCAGAGAGGAGCCCAGCAGAGGGGACCCCAGCAGAGGGGACCCCAGCCCACCTCAGCTTTCCTTCCTTCCCTCCTTCCTTCCAGGCAAGCGCCCGGCCCCAGCCCGGCCCGCGATGCCGCCCG